CGTGTGCTCTTCCGATCTTTAATATTAATTCTCTATCTATTTTTATTAATATTATTTCTCTATCTATTTAGTATATTACTTGAAAATTTATAATTAATCCCCGAATAAATTAGTCAGAAATAGAGACGCGATTTTTATCAAACTCTAACTTAATTGAACGATAAATAGAGAATATTAATAATTAATTCTCTATCTATTATAATAATTTTTCTCAAAAAATTTTCTGTTGTTCAACATATATGGAACAAAAATTAGATTAAGGACAACAAATTATATAGTTAGAAATTTTACAATAAATATAATTCTGTGAATTCTACCGGTTGAATTAATCGCCGATGATAAATAAATCGAAATAGACAGCCGCAAAGTCTATACAGATATAAGGTTTGAATCCTCACTAAGTGAAAGCACACCGGATAAGAAAACATATTACTCGTTGAGAAAATTTGTGACGACGTAGTTCAGACAGCATTTACAAAACATAGATGGCACCTCGCATAGGAGGCTCCAATTATCGTGGAGAAATTTCTCCCTGATCGGCTGATCGGACTGACGGAAAACATGGAGGTTATGAGTTATCACGACGTGGAAATCGTTTGGGGGAAAGAATTCGCAGTATTCGGATCGCGTTATACCAATTTAAACAGATTTAAGAAATGTGTTGGAGGATGACAAACACATAGAAAAATCCAATGCTGAGCAAATAATTTATTAATCGTCTCCTCTAGTCTCATAAATAGTAAAATGCAATAACGAAATTTGAACGAATTCAACGCGAGGAATATTTATATTTAAAAATAAGGAGGAAGCGTTAATCAGAGAAACACGATTATCGAAAATAGAAATCACGGAAGATATAAAGAAGAGAAAAAAAGTCACGAAAATTTATATCGAAAAAAAGATAACGCTAATTTCTCTTTTCTTGATAAACGTTATCAGCATTAATGGCTGTGTTGTGGCATTAGATAGTAGACTCGATAAACTTCGACGAAGAACGTGAAGATCTGTACTGCTGGATGCCTGGACTTGCAAAACGCTGAGATAGACGGCCTAGACTTCTGGGCCACCTTAGGAAGTTCAGAAACGTCAAAATCGTGGTACTCAGATCCATCAAGAATCTGATATCCAATTAAAAAGAACAACGTGAACTTGATTTATTATCGACATGGCAACTGGCGATGACAGACGTGTCGCTCTAATAACAGGTATCACCGGCCAGGTAAGCATTCTATCTTTTAATAAATTTGATTTCCAGCTGATCTCGATGCTGTCAAAAAACGTGTTGACCCGAAATGTGTAATGTTCAATGTAAAGTGCGCGCGCGCGCGCACACACACTGTAGCGTTAAATTTTAATGAGGATAATATCGATTTAAATTACCAAGATGTTATTCTAGTTATATCTATATATATTCTACTAGCTTTGAGGCAACAGAGAGGTTTACACTGTCCTCAGTCTTTTGTCGCTGTTACAGGATGGCTCTTACTTGGCAGAATTCTTACTGGAGAAGGGATACGATGTGCACGGTATCATCAGGCGGGCCAGCTCATTTAACACCGGACGTATCCAGCATCTTTACGAGGATCCAAAATGTCATCGGCAAGGCAAAATGAAACTGCATTACGGTGACATGACAGACTCCAGTAGTCTAATCAAGATCATTAGCGCGATACAGCCGACAGAGATTTATAATCTCGCGGCGCAAAGTCATGTTATGGTTAGTGTCAAATGTGTGAAGTATTTACGTTAAACTGAAAATTTATTTATGTGCGGTATGATTATATATATATGCGTTCTTTTACGTGTTGCGACAGGTAAGCTTTGAAGTAAGCGAATATACCGCGGAAGTAGATGCGGTAGGAACGATAAGAATATTGGACGCGATACGCACGTGCGGCTTAGAGAAGTCTGTAAAATTTTATCAAGCGTCGACGTCCGAACTTTACGGCAAAGTACTGGAAGTTCCGCAGAATGAAAAAACACCATTTTACCCACGCTCTCCATACGGTAATTGAGAGAAAGAGATGCCCCTTTGCGTTAAATTACATTAAGCTTTTATATCTATATTAAATAATCTTATATATATTTTTTTGCGAATTTTAGCTTGCGCAAAGTTATACAGCTTCTGGATCGTCGTGAATTACAGGGAAGCGTATAACATGTTTGCGTGCAATGGCATATTGTTCAATCACGAAAGCCCGCGGAGAGGAGAGACTTTTGTCACGAGAAAGGTGACGAGGTCTATAGCGAAAATACACTTGGGTCTGCAGGATGTGCTCGAATTAGGGAATTTAGACGCAAAGCGAGATTGGGGCCATGCGAAAGATTACGTGGAAGTGAGTGATTTTATGTCTATTTTTAGTCGTGAAATTCATGACTTAAATAAATTAATTACATACTCCAAATGGTGTCCTATAATCTATCGCATGTAATGTGCACAGGCGATGTGGTTGATGCTCCAACAAACGCAGGCGGACGATTATGTCATAGCGACGGGGGAAACGCACAGCGTGAGGGAATTTGTAGAAATAGCATTCCAATATGTAGGTCGTACAATTAAATGGCAAGGCGAGGGTCTGAATGAGACGGGGCAGGACGCACAAACCGGTCAAGTATTGGTTCGCATAAATCCGAAATACTTCCGTCCAACCGAAGTGGTAAGACACATCTTGCAAACTACGGGAATTGAAAGATGAATTTTATATCATACAATTTTTAATATTTAATTTCTCTTTTTCTATTTTTCGACAGGATGTGCTTCTAGGTGATGCATCGAAAGCAAGAAACAAATTTGGATGGAAACCAACAGTTACGTTTAAGGTAATTTATTTATCTGAAAAATTCAAGTAATCCTCAAAGATATAATACCGTCTCTAAATATCATGTATAATCGATATATTGCAGGAGCTCGTGAAAGACATGATGGACTCTGACTTGGAATTAATGTCAAAAAATCCAAACGCTTAACAGCGTTACGCATGATGCAAAACGCATTTATCATTTTGTTTATGTATGAAACGACAGTATTTAAAAGTTTATTTACTTTATAAATGTTATATAAATATTTTAAAAATGTTTTCCTGCAACTCCTTGGAGTGAATAAGATTTTTACTAAATAACGTAATACCTTATCATTAGTTCTCGCGAGAAGGTTGTTGAAATGTCTAATAATCGTAAGGTGAAACATCTAAGAACATATTGAACTATCAGTAATTATTAGAAAGAGAGAAAAAAGAGGCAGTAGCAGCAGCTATGATTTTATATTCAAATAAAGCAATGAAATATGACCTTTTTTTATTCTAATAAAGACGTGCATATAAAAAATTATGTGTTATAATATTAATATTTTTATGTAATATTTAAGTTTCATCAATTAAAAATTTAATTGCAAATATTTAACAATCGTTTATGAATTATCTAATCTGCAATTGATTATAATTGCATCCTAACTGATTTTATCGCTACTGCTCGGACTTCCTCTGTTTTTTTGGAATTAAATCCCAACCCTACTTTAACATCTCCCGCTCACTTCCCCCTTCTTATTCGATATATACGTACGTTGGATATGTATGTATACCTGACTTTAGTCCGAAGTACATTGCATGTATAATGCATCCATATACGTTACGTCATCGCGTTGTGAGTGATTGAAGTTAATTTTTATGAACTCTATAATTGTAGTACACCGTCCCGAAACTCGATTCCGTATCTCGTGTCTTCCCATCGGTCGCATTTAAGATAGGATAACGAGTACACTCGACCTCGAGGCTCGACGTCTCGACTCATTCGATCTCTTTCCTTCCCCTCCCTCCTCGCGCCGCTCTCTATCCCCTCCGCTCCTCTGCGTCGCTGCCTGTTCTCCATCTCTCTCCCGCTCCCTCTACCCCGATCGCGAGATTGTAAACAATTCGAACCCTCGCGTGGAGAGGAAGGCTCGTCGGGAGAGTCGGGAAGGATGCGACTGACGACGTGGGCCGACGGGAGATACGCGCTCTGCCTGCTGATCCTGCACATAAGACTGACGAACTCGCGGACGTCCTGGCGACTGAACGCCGCCGACAGGGTCGTGAAGACGACCGACTTCGTGAGCGCGGTCGAGGACGATCCGATCTTCGACATCCTCGCGGGCAGCGTGGTCACCAGCGGCAACGGCCAGGTCTGGAGCAGGACCGCGACGTCCGAGAAGCACGAGAAGGTGCAGATTTATTGTCAGGAGTGCAAGGGTTTCGCCAGCCAGGAGAGGTGAGGAGCCCCGGGGGAGGAGGGGTCTGTATTTGTAATTGTCTCGTGCCATTAGGTTATAAAATTACATGCTTGTGCTCTCGGTTTTCTTCTTTTTTTTCCTTTCGGTTCCTCCTTTCTTTCTCTACGCCGCATTATGATACTTCGATTGATACGAAGCGTAGTAGCACATTGGACACTTTCGTAACGCTAATAAATAACGTAAGGTCTAGCAAGCTATTTCTTGATTATTTAAGTAGGAAAGCCAGAATCTTCAGTCTCTCTCTGTTTTTTTTTGTCCATTACATAGTCCACACCTGCATGCGTACGTTTCTTTTTCTCTTTGTGTTTCTATCGTACGTACACAAGTAAGACACAATTTATGTGACGTAATTTTCTTTTTCTTTCTGTAGTTAGCGTTTTGTGTGTGGCTTGCTGTTCATTCAGTGTTAAAACAGCCCTAACTTTGGTCCCCCCCTCCTTGGCAGACGACTCTCGTCGTACGTGTTGAAGGAGGACACGCAGAACATCAGCGAGTCCTTCCCACTGTCCTCCTCCTCGCAAGTGTCCTCGAACGAGCAAGCGACGTGCGCCACCGGTCAGCAATGCGACAACATAATATTGGACTGCGGCAAGCCGGTCAACTTCACTTACTACGACAATCTGATCGGCGTGGCTAACAGGAACAAGCATCCGCTGGTACCGGAGCCCAATGTGGCGCTTATGTTCAAGAAGAACGGCGGCAAAACCGTCGACGTCGACATTGACCTGCTGGAGAAACGCTTGAAAAAAGCGAAGCGAGAGGTATCCACTTCAAAACATAGCTGTTAATGCTGTAAATACCAGCGAAAAAAAAAACACGCACGTAACTAGACACCGTGAAATTGCCAAAGATTTCAGTGTTTTCACTTTCCTAGAATAAATATAAACTGCTATTTTCTCATACATTTTTTTTATATACATATTATAGAATACAACGAAAGTTTTGTATAGTATAACTCTTCTAATTTCTCTCTAAATGAATTTCCATTCTAGAAACCGAAATCTGTCCAGCTGTATAATCAGATAGGAAATTTCTGGCGTATAAAGGGCGACGCGCAAAGATCGATCGAGTGCTTTCGCAGAGCGCTCGCTGTGTCACCACACAATGCGGAAGTGCTCTTGAATTTGGCCAGAGTATTGCTGGTGCAACATTATTTAGATGATGCAACGTACTTAGCCAGGCGATCCTTAGAGTTGCAACCACCAGATCGCAATGCGTGGGAGCAATATCTTACACTCGGACAAATATTCAAGGTATAGGGACAATTTCCTAGCTATATAAAATGCTTTCATTGAAATTTTCAACATCTGGAGATTCTTAAGATAAACACAAGATATTTCATAGATATAATTATTTCCACAATACATTTTATAAATTATAATAAGGATTTAACAATTCTCTTTCCTCCGGTGATGTAATTTCAACGAACAGTTAAAGAAAATGTGTGAATGATAGTAATAATTATCCAATCTGAATTTTCAAAAAGTATGCGAGTATAAAATTTAATATTAGACGCACTTTCATTTTGCAGGCATATGGACATTTTCAAGAGGCAGCTGTACACCTGCGTCACGCGCTGGAATTAAAACCGGATCTCTCCGATGCTGCCGATGCATTAAAAGAGGTCGAGTCACTGCCGCTCGCAAGTATACACGTGTATACGTTGCTGATCATCGTCGGTTTGGTACGTAAACTAATGGAACGATACATATTTTTTGAATAAGTTTTTTATCTAAGCGTTTGTAGGAAGACAGGCGTTTTTTTTCCTTTGTTTTTTTTTCCGTGGACATCCAGCAAGCGGAAATTGTCACTGATATGATGACCTGTTATCGTAGGTGCTCGGCGTGCTCTTCGTAGTGCTAACCAGTGTAGAATGTGACGAGGATTCGACTCTAGTCAATGGGCAGCTTCAGCGTCCGGTACAACGACATTTCAGTCGTGCTATGGCTATGCGCAGCTTGCGGCTTAACGTTGCACGCAATAAACGCTGTTGATGATGCTGAGGATAATCATAATGACTCATTATTGACAAATCGGTCGTTCGTACATATGATAGAATAAAATCATTCTCATGCCATAAACGACGATTATCTCCCTGCAAAAAGTATTATTTATAACATGATTCGCAATAATTCTTGGGATGCATTAACTGTTTATTATATATCTCCGGAGAAAAATATATGAGGAAATATACAAGAAGATTCTCATCACTCCTTTATTCAGACCGAATCCAAGATTGTTGTCAAACATATTTCGAAATTAGATTCTTAACTTCCATCCAATATTTATTTTTATCTTTTCAACGTGTTTACAGAAAATAAAAAATATGGAATGTCATATATATATATATATGTATATATATATGTATATATATATATATATACAGGATTACAATTCTCTTTTAGTTGCTATCACATATATAATATATATATATATATATAATACGGTACATTGTAACAATTTCATCAATTACCATATACATGAAACTAGAATAGATACAAGTGATATATATATACTTTTAATTTGCTTTCCATATATCACTTTGTAATACGATTATGTTTGTAAGTGATATATTAGTACCTGATTGGAGCTGAAGATTAGCTTTAACGTACAGGATGTCCCAAGAAAAACATGAAATAACAGCAGAATTCTTTTTTTTTTATTCTTTATAATAACATTGATAAATAATTATGATTTTGGAAAGATACGAAGCTGTACACACAAAGAACTTTTGCAATAAGTGAAGGAGTTTCTCTCTATCATTTACTCTGAAAATTTGTTTTAGTGAAATAAAAAATTTTGTTGACGCGCACGCGAAGTCATTTGAATATTCGCATAAATATTATTTATTGGAACTGCAAATGTTTGTTCAAATTGTTGATAATTCTTAAGGAAATTAAAAATTATTTCTGAAATAAAAATTAATATCTGACTTTTACTCGTATTGTTCGTAATAATGAATGATTTGATCTTAGGTGTTTTAAGTATTATAATACCTATCTCTCTGTAACAAAATTTTCATTAACATCAACAAATCTACCGATCATACTAGAGTTCTTTAAAAATAATATTTTTATTACACGCATCTCTCTTAACGTTCAACATTAAACATTACTCTTTGATTCGGTGCTAACATATATGTATAACAACTTATTTTCCGCTGTCACTTCGCACTTCTTTGAGACAGTTCCTATAAATAAAGAGAAATAATATATGTAATATGAAATTGCATCTAAACATTCATTCAACAAGATTCACACTAACAATATGTTCAACAAGGTTATTCTACATTTTACATTAAAATTTAGCACGGGGTAATGTAAATAACATTGTACAATTTATGTTCTAATTAACGAGATGGTATAGAAGATTCTACCTTTCACTGGAGAGACAATTGTTTCTCGTTACGTCGCGAATTTTTTTTTACACATACTCCTCAGACAAGTGTTTAAAACATTTCCAGTATAACATCCTTTCAATAACTTATACATAATGCTTATGAGATATGTAGATGTAAAATAATAGTTTACGAATACTACCGTCAAAGATTTGAAAGAGAAGTAAAGCTTAATTCGATAAACATAAGTTATAATATCTATTTTTGTTGCTTATTGAATGGAAAAGTTTAATTATATCTTATAAGATCTAATAGGAATTTACAAAATTCGAGATGTAGTTTCTTCATCGTTTTTAGTTTTCTCACGACTGGGATAAAACGTATTTGAAAAAATGTAAAAATACTTCTTTTGTAATATCGTCGAATATTCTCCTTGAGGCAAGAATTTTTCAACACATGCGAGACGAAAAACGAAGTAGCTTAGAGATAAAAAAAATAATGAATTTAAAATATACTACTACTTTGCTGCTGTTTTTCTCAAAACCTAGCTTGGCTCAAAATTTATTTAAAATAGAATGAACAACTTTATGGACACTCAATGTATGAGGGAATTAGGCCTTATCTTGACAATAGGCCTTGTAGTATTTACATGTTGCAAGCTAACGGTCGAGGCCAAATACTATATTGTTATTATATATTGGATATGTAACGTGTTATATACCTTCTTGAATAATCGGTGAACAAATATTTGCAACAGAAAAAATACTGGAAAAAGAACAAGTTAGTATTGAAAAAATAAAATAAAATATATCATTCGATTCTGCTATAAAATTTATAATCTATCGAAACGTCAGTAATTGATAAAGATTATCACTTCATACATAAATGATATCAATTTTCGCAAATTTTATTGATGATACATTCATACCTTGCAAAATTCTGAAATATAAACAGTCATAATTTATAGATACAAAAAAGTTTAATTGTAAAAAGATAACAAAAGCGTCCTTAGGAAATTTGAGGTTTTCTTAGGATTGAATACTGCTTCTTGACAGTATTAATTAATATAATAACGAATAAATAAGATGTATATTGAACATGATCTAACAAAAAAAACAGCATTCGACTCACCGGTATTTTGCAACCATACAAAGTTCAATTTCTGAAACAAATTATATAAAGCACTTATAATTACTAATAAAGGACTTTGTTGCAAAATTTGCAGATATACAAGAATGTATTCATTCTTAACGTCTTTTTGTGTGCAAATAAAAAACTGTTAAAATCATTATTCGAATGCTAAAAAGAATGTTTTTGTTTATGTATGTATAATCAGACTGAAATCATCCAATATATCACGTTTGGACAAGTTGAAAACCGCGATGGATAAATCGAATGTTACACCGTGCCTCTGTAAGTACTAAATACACATATTATATATTAACTATTGCGATTTGCCTCGAATTTGCCTCTAATTTATTGGACTAGTTTGTACAAGGCACTAAATGCATCTGATATATATCGACATTTACACATACAAAAAATTATGCTATCTCCAAATACATTGAATGTCCAAAAGCAATTGAGGTGAATTTTCGCGAATGGTATTTATAAGTACAATACTATTATATAGAGTGCTGGAAAATCGTACAACAATCGAGAAGAGGGAAATTTAAAGTATAAAAAAAATTAACATAAATTATTTCGCAAGATAAAATTTTTTTTCGGAAAATAACAAATCATACCTCTGAAAGTAAATTTTAATTAATAGTTTGATTCTCATTTCTAAAAACATTTTTCTTAGACAAGTTTGATATAAAAGTTTTTTTCCTAAGACTTCCTGTTTCACACTAAAAAAAAAATATCACCCTCTCACGAATGTTGCTATAATTTTCATTGCACACTACACAGTATTGGAAAATATACATCAGACTCTCCATTATTCATAGACATCCTTTCAATAGTCACCTTAAAATCTCTAGCTTAATACGTCTATCATGTCATATGTGTGTATAATCAATTATTTCATTTACTTTAATATACAAGAGTGACTTCAGCATAAATGGTCAAATTTCAGATATTCTGTTCATTTAGAAAAAAAAAGGTTATTAGCACAGATTGAAAACACTTTCTTATTTTATATTATCTTTTTTTGCTCAAATGGCCATTTCTATTTGTCCTCTATTGTTTTTATCGAGTAAAAATTCGTATTAACTTTCTTTTTGATTTATATAAAACCTTTCCTTGCCATAGCTATAGAAAAACAAGATATAAATTTATATAGACATGCACATCGGTTTAATACTGTATGACAACATATAAATAAACTATCAGTCTGTTCAGGCATTGGAAAATTAAGATAATTAAGATGTTTATTAACATCAAAAATTTTCAATGATTTCAGTGATCTATATGATGTCGATTCGAGATCGTTACTGCATAACTTCAACTTTTAGCAATCCTCAAGATGAGTGAAACATTTCTAAAGCTTGACCATTAATTTCAAAATCACTAACATACTAAAGTAAATATCTATGTATAATATTATATACATATATTTTAAAAGTTAGAATTGCACCCAACTGGCATTGGCCACTGTGGGTGCAGGTGCTGGTGCTGGTGCGGATGCTGGCGCCGACGCTGATGCCGATGCCGACTGTGAAGCACTGGCGAACTCGCCCCACTCTGAACTCGTGCCATCTGGATTTTGACTCTGTGGTGGCTTGTGCGCCGGTGAGGAAGTAGGGGTCTTCGCTGGTGGTGGAGCAATCTTGACACCACCTGGAGGAGGCGGTAGACCCACGGCTGGATTGGTACGTTGTCTGGACTTGGACGCAACCTCGCTGCCATCCTTTTTCTAAATAATGAATATGTGAAAAAGTCGTTTTAAGATTGGACTATGCTCCAGGAAGACAATTTTTTGTCGAGATCCTTAATGTTAAGAGAATCTGACTCTATATATTAAATTATATCACTTTAAAAAGATCTAAACAGGTGGTTAATAGAAGTGAAAGCCAGACTATTACCGAAAAATCATTCAAAGTTGGGAGAAATAATTATTTGATACAGATATGCAGTTGGTAATATTTTCTTCTCTTCCACACTTTTCTTTTAATTATTTTAGAATATTTTCTTAATCTTAATTTAAAGAAACATCGATCTTTTAAATTTGAACAAGAAACAGATATGAAGTATTTGACGAAAAAACTCTTACGGTAATCTTCATATTAATCTTGATAGTTTCGCCTTCCTTAAATCTGAGATCCAACTCCTGTTTTGGCTTCTCCTTCTCCTTCTCGATCTGCTCCCGATTCTTCAACCACTTAAAGTGATCCTGAAGAGCAACATTCAGATCAAAGCTATCAGACCTGTCTAAGAAGCCGACACCTATGAACGCTGACCGTCCGTTGTCGTCCTGGATCCTCAGGACGAAGTATCTGGACGAGTCGGTGACCGGCTCCACCGCTATCCCGGGGTACTGCTCGATCGGACACTTGGCGAACAGCTCGCCCGTGATCTTGTCCTCCAGCTTTATCGTGATGCTGTCGCCCTGCGACACCAATCTCATGCGCCCGGTCCAGGAGGGCTCCTGCAGGTTCCAATCGGCCGCCCTGGTGACAGATCGCGGATCGTGAAGAGACCGTGACGCGCGTTTTTTTCGGGAAACGAGAATAACGCGTACCGTCGATCCGCTTTACTGCGCTAGCTTTACATTTACTCGAGCGGACTCGTGACTACTACGGTCGTCCCTACGTGAAACCACGGATCCGTCCGTGGTTGATAACATATTGAACGGCCCCCGCGGAAACGTCACGTCGAAGAGGCGTCTCGCGCTTACCGATAACCCCTGTTGGTCGACCTTGGTGGGATTTTGAAGACGAACACCTCGGACTTCACCAGGAGGACGCTCTCGTACGTCTCCATCGCGCACCCTGCCGACGACGAAATTCACGGGAGATGGGCGAAGGAACGTTCACGACGACGACGACGGGAAGTGCGGCCCTCCTCGCAAGCAAGGCTGCTGTGTGTGTGTTTGAAGGTTCGTTCGTTTGCGCTCTCACTCCTGACAAATGTCCGCTCCGCGATCAGCCGTGATTTGATAACTCTATCTCGAGTCACGCCTCCTGCCCCCTTTCCCGGTTCCCCCCTAACGCAGCGCCGTTCCCCCCNCCCCTCTC